GCCGGGCGGCGCCGCTGTCAATCAGCTGGCGCCGCCACTGCTCGCGAGCGAGCCGTCGAGCCTGGCGCTTCGTTCGTTCGACCTCTTCGTCCGGCGGGTCCGCTCCATTCCAGCGGAGGCTCTGAAGACGCCGATATACATCGGCGTCAGCCTCCGCCTGGAAATCGAAGGGAACAGACCCCGCCAGGACGACTGGGACTGGAACCCTTGCCTACCTGTGTTGGGTTGCAACAATAATCTAGTGAAAATGTCAACTATTTCCTTACAATTTTGACATTTCTAGAGCATAGAAATGAGAATATCTAAATATATTCGTTATTCGTGAATATATGGAAAAATTTCTTAGATGAAAGTTGTACTGCTTGACAAAGGAAATATAGTGCCGGAGTCAACATTTTGTTCTCAAAGTCAATTTTTGAGATTTTAAGGTCATTATTTTTTTTTATCGGAATTATAAATTTTGTTTCTATATTCTTAAAGAGCGTAAAAAGGCAAATCCAACGACATAAAGATATATATACCAACCTTATATTACAAAGGAGAAAAACGAGTTACAGAAATGAAAAATTTTCGAAATCGATGTGGCACGACTTCCCGTTGTCCGATCGATTTCAAATTTTGTACAGATTATTTTTTCATAAAATGGCATAATTCTAGGGGGTGTCCCAATAATAATACAATGGTCGAAAAATAAAGTCCACACTAGTGTTGACCCTGGGTCGTTGACGCTTGGCAGCTCGAATAAACGCGTAGTCGAAAGTTATTTAAAGGTTTATGACAACCAATGTCAACAAAAATCCAGAAAATAGATGATTTGAATTGATAAAATTTTTATTCGAAGTTTTATTCATAGGCTTCGAATAAACCTTCGAATAACTTTGACCAGCAGGAAACACTGCTCAGCGTCGAGAAGCCGAGGGCTGAACGTGAAAGACCAGCGACCAACGATTGAAAACTGAAATACAGTGTAAACAGACAAGGAATAAAACGTAACATTAAAGTGTCAGGAATGAACTGAGAAGATTCTGACGGTTGAAATGGGTCCAAATACCACATCATTCGGTATATTTTCAATAATATATTATGTTTATCCGCAACGTTACGTATGAGTAAAAATTGTTCAATTACACTCGAATTTGGACGCATCGGGAGAATCTCTTCAATTCATTCGTGACATTTTCATTAATATATATTGAAAATTGTAAAAGTTTAAATTTTCATTCGTGCGTGATTCCTTATTTCATGTACGTTTGCTTAAATCCTATACCACTGCGTGACAGAAGTTTGTGAACACTCCTCATTTTTGGGTTTCAGTATGTACCACAAACTTTTTGCACAATCCAGTAATACCATGCTATTCAGCGTTACAAAAAACCCCTTTGTGTACGGTTTCCAGTTAAAATTCGTACATTACACGTTTTTATTAATGAAAATCAGTATTTCGGTCGTGACAAAAGTTTGTGAATACTTTCATAAAAACAAATTTATTGAAAAGCTAATCAACATTAACACTGGTTTAATAGTTGAACAGTCCTCCTTTCTTCATGATAACGTCAAAACTATGAGTTCTCACGGAATCAGTCAATTGCTGAAGCAGATTCAGCTCAAGGTTCTGCCAAGCTGCTAAAATTGCAGTTTTGAGCTTTTCCAAAGACTCATATTCTTTATTATTTGCGTATACACGACGCACCAATGTTGCCCAGACGTTTTCCATAGGATTACAATCCGGCGATCGGGCAAACTATTCAAAGGCGCTAACTGTACTATGCTTTGTTTGTGTTACTTCTGTGTATGACCGTGTTATGGGTACGACGTTCTGTGTATGACGGTGCGAAAATTTTATTTGACGGTACGAATAACGCGCAATGAATAAATTTATTCATACCACGCTCGTCGAATAAAGATACTTTTTTTATTCAAGCTTCGAATAATGAATAAAGATAAAGTATCTTTTGTTCGAACGGTTATTTAAATAATTTTTTATCTAGATAATGCCCGTCTCTGGCTGACACGCTGTCACAGATGTATACGTATAGACAAAATTCAATGCAGTAGTACCAATAGTTTTTCGCGAATATTTCGGAAACTAAACGATACCGCCTATTATATGAATGAAGTGCATTATTTCAAATGCTACGACAGTACAGTTAATGAAATAATGTTCTTAATAACGTATAACATTATTATCTCCAAACGACTATAATTATTAATATTTACACAGAAAGTATGCAGGTAAGGTATATATGATGCTAAATGCTCTTTTTCATTATGAGATAAAAGTATAGAAATCTTACATACATACCCAGATAGTATATGACGTCTTGAAGACGTCTATTTTATGGCTATTTCAGGTCTGTAGCACCTTTAAGCCGCTTAAGCCGCATGTGTGCTGAGTATCGTATATCGTTAAAAAAAATTTACTTTATAGATACAAATACAGTAAAGGTAGGAATACAATGTTGTAAAACATTTTACATTTTTATTATTCTTTTCGTTACGTTTTATATCTCGCTTTAAAGTATGCATTACCATGAAACAAGTTTCATATCACCGATATTTGATCTTGATTAAGAGTTACATCGGTTAGACACTTATTTATGAATCATTTCCCTTGGGAGCCCAGCTAGTGAATTTTCAGGCACAATTGTCAACTGGTGAATCTAAAAAAAAGAAATAATCATTGCATGTACAATGCCACACTGCCATGTTAATTATTTATTACAGAGGCAATAAGTGTGGTAATTTTTACCTCTGCGCCCTCCGGTGTGCCTAGTGCATAGACCACTGAGTTAGCTATGTCTTTGCCACGCAATATTATCATCTTATTATTAAGATCAATCTGACCTGCAGCTACATTTGTAAACATGTCTGTGAGTACTGTGCCAGGACTGATGTTCTGTGTAAACATAACAACATTTGAATGTCATACGTCGACGCTTGGCAGTCAATGTTTCAGAACGAGAAATGATGCATTTATTAGAATAAAAGTTATTTACTTATTGTCTTTACTAACAATGCAAGAAGTGGAATGGAATAGATGAAAGAATGAAACATTAACAAGAAAACAAATGTCTTTCTATATTTATAGAATTCAGAATGAGAATATTAATGAATTCTTCCGAAACGAAGTTTTCGATACTAGTAAACATGACGTTATTGTGTATACACTACATCGCAAGAGTATTTATTATTATGTTACCATGTTCTCCAAATATCATTTCTTCATTATATTTTGGTTATTATTTTCTTCTAATGAACCCTCTTAAAATTTGTTTTCTCAAACAGACTTTCGTAAAAATAAGTTTTCACTACATTATTATCTTAATGTAAAGATAACAATTTTTGCAACATTAAAACAACAAATTATGACTATGATATGAAGTCTAGTGTTACCGTAATTCGTATTCTGAGTTTGGCCTGGAGTATTTCATTGCGTAGTTCCACTGTCAAGGCAGTCAGGCCATATTTACTGGCACCGTAGATACCGAGTGATAGCTGTATAGCTTCTGCATAGTGCCCAGCCATACTATGAATTGTAAGCATAGATGTAGTTATTATTTATTCATGTATTTGCATAGTTTTAAGTCACGATGATAGGCAAAACGACAGGTTCACTTTGTAGGTGATTTTAAGGAAATTTATGAATTTTATGAAAGATCTAATATAAGATCCCTATCATATATATAAAAAAGAACAATAAAAAGTTTTGTTTAGAATGTTGAATAAATAATAAGGGCATGGTAGCCGCACGACCGATACCTATTTTTCATTTGAGTCATTCTGGGGTGAAATATTTCATGCCTACACCGTTGGACGTAGAACAAAAACAAAAACAAAATGGTTTGTGATCTACAATAAAATATTAGAGCAAAAGATTTCGAAAAAATACTGATGTTTGACGAAATGACGTAAATTGGTAAAAAAATCCGTTACTTTTTGCTGAAAATTTTTTTATAAGTACGTATTTAATCTGTTACTTAACAAAAATAATTTTTAATGTACTTTGTAAAATTCATCGGTATTTCTCTAGCGTTTAGTGTGTATGTCAAAACTTTTTGTTTTTTTGTTCTAGAACCGAAGGTACTATAGACGTGAAATACTCCACAGCAGAATGACTCAAATGGACAATACGTATTGGTCGTTCAGTCATTGTACCGCTATTTTGTATTCAAAAATTCTAAACAAAATTTGTTCGTTCTCTTGTATACGTACATATTATAAAGACCTTACGGTAGATTTTGAATAAAGTTCATAAACTTCTTTAAAATAAACTTACTTCAATTTTAAATAAACGTCATTGAAACCATCTAACCAAGTAAAGATTACAACCATGTGAATATGGACAACTATCGTGATCCAATACGTTGCTTACTCATATTACAATAGCCGTTCGTTTATTGCATATTTCGGGGCTGCAGAGTGTAGAGGGCCAGAATTCCAGGGATTAGACAATAAACGTGCGCCAATCATCCGAGTTGTGTGACGCAGCTACATACATATACATATAGAGCATATAGGGTAGATATACGCACTTTATGGTCATCTTAATTATCTCCGTTATTTTTAGAGATATCAGAAAAATTTATTCACAGAAGTTGTTTAGTAGGGAAAGGGCTATTACTTAGCGCTAACAATTTTTTCGTGAATGGAGGATCTTCTTAGTTGTCAAGGTTAATTATGTTTTCTTTTTAATGATACTGAAACATTGTGGAATAAAAATGTTTTATTTACGTAAATGGATTCTTCCAAACATTCTGCGTAATAAAGTATTAAGGTATTATGTGAAAAAAGGTAATAACACGTGAGATATTTTACATTACAAAATGTGAAAAATGTCACAAACAATTCATTTTTTCTCGACCTACAACAAAATTATTTCTGCTATGATATGGCCCCTCTGATACCATATAACATTCGTAAATAAACCTTTTTATATGTGTAGAAATAATGGAGTTAATTACAGTGATCAACGTTACTGAACCATTTCTTAGATTACACATATGACTAAATAGTAGTTTCACTTAATCTTCTATATTGAAAACAATGTAATGAATAATATGAAACGAATTGTGAGGTGCAAAATGATTAACTAAGACGTTAGCGTTTATTTACAGGAATCGTAATAAAGTACGACAGTAATGGTGTTTTAGAATTATTTAAATTGAAATATCTCCTGAACTACTAACTTTTCGACATACATAGGTTAGTACTTTTTTTATAACGAATGTCCAGCTGCATCGATTGATGTATTAAAAAATACCTCATTCCATTTAAAAAACAAAGTTGACCTTTATATAACCTTTACGCGTCTACTCACGAAAAAACTAATAACATCAGAATATGCTCCACTCGATACCATTCAAGCTTCCGCTGAAACATTTTTTGCTACGAGTAACAATAGCGAGAAAATCAAGGTGTCAAAATCGGGTGAGACACCCTGTATAATGGTACACCTATGTATTTCAATCTAATAGACAATTAATGTTTTAATATTTTATACGTTTATAAGCTTACATAATTACTTAAATTCAATATGAATTAAACATGATACGAAATGTAGTTTTTTATAACTGAAAATATCTAAAAACATTGAAACATTTTATGAAAACATTATTATATACACCACACTTTCTGTGATGAAATATACGAGTTAAACGCGACACCGTATGTATTCCATCCTGGGTGTGCTGGGTGAGAGAGTGGGGTACGTGCACGTATGAGCGAGGGGCGATGCCAACGCGCAATAAAAGGGACTCCATTTAACGAACGGCTACTGTATACCAATAGTGTAGATACTGATTTGGCTAAATATGATGTTTAATGAAAATTTTACTTCTGGTGATAGGAAAACGCGTTGATTAGTTCTATCGATTATAGTACATATATGCCTAAGAAATTACAAACCTGTTGATATTGATTATATGGCCGTATGCATTACGTTTCTTGACCGATTGGCAAAATTCTCTTGAACAGATTGCGGGAGCTATTAAGTTGGTATCCACTACTCTACGGTAATCTTCAGTGGGTGAGTTTGCAATATAATATGTATTAGTTTGTTTATGCGACAATTTTTTTCGTAATTCTTATTGATGATGTTGATACGAGCAGTTTTGTCTGAATTATCTACTATATCGAGTATTATACCGAGATATCGCATATTTATTATTACATTCTGACGTTGATTTCTTTTATATCCACTATTCCATTAATCTTCTCTGTTTGTATATAGTTAATATATGACTTCTAATACACATAAAATTTTCTTCAGTCCAATATAATAACATGTACATATAATTGGTACCGTTTGTACTTTGTACCTGTTATTCAGTTGTAATTCATTGCGTAACGTAATAATTGCTACCTTCTGCTTCCGTTATGCATTGTACGTTTCACAATACATACTATCTATTCCACAAAATTGATTTTCTGAATGTTCTTACAGAGTTTCAGAAACAATTTCTATTCATCCACATAACATTGTTCTTAGCGAAATCCAAATAGCATAAAAACGTCATATGTACGTCTGGAGAACGTATAATCTGGACGTTCAGTAGGTACCTTTGGAGGATGTCCCGAAAAGTTCCATGTTCAACCTACATCCTCGTTAAGATCCTTAAACGTCATAGGAAGGTCCTATTCATAAAGTGGAACGGCCTGTGTCAACATTCTCAGAACATTTTCCGAATGTGTAAAAGTAACATTCTTTGTACTGTGTGGGAACGTTTAAAGAGTTTTTAAAAACGCTATGATAATGTCTTAAAAGGTGTATAAGAAACGTTTCCCAAATGTTTAAAATTACGGATAGATTTCATTCTGTGCAATGTGATAGAAGCTAAGCTTAACTTTCCTGCGTTTTCCGCACTTACTGTAAGTTAGATTAAGTTACTTCCTGTTAATAAATACAAGGTTAAATTTCTTATAACGAATTAGATTGAAAATATGCATATATTATGTTTATTGTTATTTTCAAAGCAAAGTACTGATTCTATGTTGGTTAGACACAGTTTAGGAAAGAAAAACACTTATTCAATGCAGAATACTGATTCTGTGTTCGTTACAGATAGTTGAAGAAAAAAAATCACTGATTCAAAGCAAGATACGGATTCTGTGATGGTTAGAGACAATTTAATTTAGAAAAATGTTGTTCCATATTTCCTGAGGTTACCGCTATTTTCATTGAACACATCATATTTAGCCAAATCAGTACCTACACTATTGACATACAGTAGCCTTTCGTTAAATGGAGTCCCTTTTATTGCATATTGGCATCATCCCTCGCTCACACGTATTTCGCACACACGTGCGCGTACCCTACTAGTGTCGTTACACTTCTCTATTAATTCTCTCAAGAATGGTACCTTGCTCATAGGAATCTATCACCTTGCCAGGAATGAAGTTGATCCAAAATTATTAAATGAAACAATCCGTAATTTAAATTCTACGAACATTCGTAAGCCTTAAGGAACGGTCATTCCTGGACATGTGAAATTTAAGTCTTAAGAATATCCGTAGGACTTTCGGGACGGACGTTTCTAGACATGAAACGGACATCCTGTGGATGTACGGTGCTATCTGGGTACGAGAATCCTTACCAATAACCGGTGTTGCAATGAGAACGCCAGCATTGTTCACGAGTATATCAGCACCGCCTAATTTCTCTTCGACCCATTGAAATGCTTGTAAAATCTCTTCCTCCTTCGTAACGTCGCATTGGACCGGGTAGATCTTGTCTTTGCCGTGATTCGCGGCTAATTCTTCAAGTTTGTTTAGCCTTCTCGCGAGGGTAACAACCTTAACGCCATGTTCTACGAGGGATTCCGTGATCTCTGCACCGATTCCCGAACTAGCACCAGTTACGATCGCCACTTTTCCAGACCAACGTTCCATCGTTCGCGATAGTATGCTATAAAACTGGTATATCAGCTAGAACTCGCCGCGTTTATAAAGTGTCTCCCCCGTATCAACACGATCCACTTAGTAACACGTTATCTCTAGTCTACGATATCGTACTGAACGCGTCGATTCCATATCAGTGTTCATGTTTCTATCTGTAACGTAATCTTCAGTGATTTCGCATAAATAGTATGATCGGTGCGAAATGCTGTAAGAATTTAATTGGTAGTAATACAGCTTCGTACGCACACAAGTTTCCTGCCTATTACGAGTGGACGAATACCGGACTCCTCGCGACCAGGTCAATTGATTTATAAAACCCGGAGGATCTGCTTATTTTCAAACGAAGGTGAAGACATAGAGGTTCAGTCTCACGAAAAGGACGCATTGTCTCATCACGCCCGAAAATGTATACTTACAGTTTTTCTCTAGAAAAATAACTCGAATATCAAACTGAGCGACGAAACTCTTTGCAATCATAAATTGTTCCAGTAGACCGACTCTTCTCTTTACGCCAACTTATGTATATTAGGCAGCACGTGCCACGGACCCGCCTGAAAAGTCATCATTGGATCTTTATGCAAATGCATATTTTTAGATAAAGTAAGTAAAAAAATGGAACCTAGACAGAAATTTGTTTCGTCACTACAGGACTTCAAATATGCATTTTTTATTTTGCAACTTTGCATGTCGCATATGTGTTACATATATTTTTTTAAATGTATATGCAAAAATATATGACATATTTCATTTATGTTTATCATGTGTATTTTTAAAATCCGATATTAATTATTGAATTTTCAAAGTAATTTGCTGCGAGCGAAGTCAAAATCCCGATAAATTTAAATTTACTTATGGTGTTACGTATGGAGAATAATTTCATTTTCAATCATATTCTACCGCGCGTCTGACAACGGAAAACGCCCTAAAACTCCGTCTGTTTATTCTTCAAGTAATAGGGATGCGTAATATCGACCAACTGGATAGCAACCTAGACACAGAATCATGATTCACTCGCGACCGTTAAGATTCCTTTATAAAGAAATTCTACTGAAACCCCACCCAGTTTTAGGACTATATGTATAAACCCTCTGATTTTAACCCTCGGGGGCATAATAGTACAGCCACATGTAGAGTCACGACGTATTATATACTGTAAAGAGTCGGTTGTATCCAGTGAGATCGGGCTTAAATTCCCTTTCGAATCACCAGTTAACCTCATAGAATCCGCGAGTTCGGTTGAAGTTCTATTCGGCAATCTTTCAAGACTGCTCTTACTCCCCGCATTGCCAGTGCGTTAATACCTAACATTTAACCGGTAATATTACACTTAATACTTTACCACGACAACACTACATTACATACACTTGTACCAAAAACTGCTTGTATAATATCCAAATAATATTCTTTAATAAACGTGAGTAATTTCATTATTAAAATTCATTGGTTTGGTAATTATTATAATCGTAGTTGACCTTTCCTACACGATACAACTTTACCGCTCAAGTTGTATCTAAATTCATAAAACGAGTTACGAGGCTTAACTAACATTTCCTGTGGCTCCCTGATTTCGCATCTGGTTCGTCCACGCGTCAAACTTTTCCAAGAGATAATTGTCCACGAAACTTGGCCTATCCAGCGGCTCCCCGATTTCGCATCAGGTTCGTCTTCACTTTCAATCATCCTAGCGGCTCTCTGATTTCGCATTAGATTCGTCCGCGCACCTCACTAACAAACCGATAAACCATATTTCTTGGAAAACCTACTTCCGCCGGCCTCTCGCGCTGCTCGCGACCGTGGCTCCTAACAGTGGTAACATTACGTACACAAGCATTGTATATGTTATCAAGTGATTCTCCAGGCAATGACAACAAATACGGCTCTGATGTTGTTGAGCCTACAGTTGCCTGATAATGTATGTATTGTGGACGATCTAGATTTAGTACCATTAGAAACCGTGAAGTTGCCGTAATATCAATATAGTACAGCAATTAAATATATTTGATTTTCAATTTAAAAATTAGTGTTTTAAACAGTAAGCGAGATGCCTATAGTAAGAAAAAGTCGACGTACATTACTTCAAAACTGGATTGATGGAATAGGAGATACCAGTTTTGTGAGTGATGGAGTATCTGTACAGTGTAAAATATGTGACAAAGTGATTCATTGTGATAGAAAATCACAACTGACCCAACATTTAAATACTCTTAGTCGCAAACAAAAATTCAAGTAGAAAGTATTGCGGGACAGCCTGTAACATCGGAAGAAGAGCAAATTGTGACGGGAAAGAACGATTGATTTGAGACGAAGATGAGGCGAACACTAGTAAATGGTAATTAATTCTACATAAAATAATAAACCGTTACGTTTGCCATCATAGTCTGTTCGCTGATTTTTGGACGTATCGAACATTCATGATCTGGCGACATTGCATACTCTAGTCTTTGCAATACTGTAGAAGTTTAACTAGCTGACTCGTGTTGGATTGAATGTAATTCCGGAATTCACTGTTCTTATATCGTACAGGGTAGCAGCACATCTCTGATTTTTTACACAATCCATATTTTAGAACACGTGACACAAGTCTCATACCTAGGATAGGTCTACTATTCTATGTTTTGTCTGTGCTTTCACACACACACACAAATTCGCTCTCCCACCACGTTGCGTACCCTCACGAGCAAAGTCAGCTTTCACTATGGGACAAAGTGACGTAAGAGAAGTACCTCCTACTACTTGGTAAATTTATTTTAGGTACTGAAATAAATATTAAATCGAATGTTAATTGGACATAAGTTTCAGTAATTCCCAATGCCAATTGGTAGGAGGCCCTTCCAGCTCTTGCGTAGGTACTGGAGCCGGAACTACAACGGCATAACATATTGTTAGCATAATGGGGGCTCTCGATATGTTGCCGTTTTCGCAAATTTTACTCTCCTACAGCTCCAGCTGCGGCAATAGATCAAAAGTCCATTGTACTTACTTAATGGATATTGACAATCAAGATAAGTAAAAACCTTAATAAATGCTATTCTTTTGCTTTTATAATTCTAAGATAGAATTATAAATATATTAGACATCATATCAAAAGTTGTAGATATACACACTTTATAGATACTGAAATTCGAGATAATGTCAAGGTTACAGTACCTAAAGTTCACCATTATACAGTTTGCTATCGCTAACTATTAGCCAACCTCACAATCACTTTAACTTTTTATTGTTGATAAATATTATTTTTTGTGTACGATTTCTCGGTAATTTATTATCTGTGTTACAGTGATACGTACGAAGACACTCTCGTCACCTCTTAACCATATCGGGAGTTGGAATGCATCCAGCCAGATTACGTAATTGCCTGCCGGGTGTTATGGCGTGGCCAGATTTTCTTGGAAAACATTTTGCATTAAAGAATGGGCGTGTCCCCTACTACTTTTAGACTCGATCTTCGGGGTATAAAAAGGGACGCGTACAGCTCATTCGCGGATCATACTCATATCAGAAGTCTAGCTACTGAGATCGGGTATTAAAGTCCATGTCAAGCATTTTTAAAAGTAAGCTAAACTCTGCAAAACAAATCCTCGCATTTCTCCTTGCGTGAAAACCGTGAACGTTGGAATTCGTTTCCGCGACTGCACCTTACAGTAACATTTGTAAAACCTTTACTTATTGAATATACTTTTATACGTTTATATATATATATTTATAATTCAGTGTTGTTCATTTTGTAAGGGATTGTTGGGATGGTCTTTTTAGGATGGCTTAACAATGAATTCACGGCGTGGTAATATTTAAGATTGAATTTAATAAACGATATGTCGTCTTCAACAGTCGGGCGAACACTCTGCCTTCTCTTGAGGGCTACCTTCCTATATGTATACATCTAGAATGTCACATGACCATCAAAATCGACGCTACGTGCACGAGGATTGCTTTTCGGGAATCCTCGCGGCCGCCGTCCTAAAGTCAAAGCGCGCTTCTTTCAAAGTTGCCGCGCGCAACGTCGCCGCCAAAGACAGTGCCGCACGCCCAAGGAGCACGAGGCACGGTTCGAAGAACCATCGCAATACACGTCGACAAAGGCAATATTCTCTTACAATTTCAACTCTAGAATAACATCTAAATTCCTAGCTAGAAGCGAACCCACAAGGACACTCTTTTACCGTTCGAAGAGTACCGAATTCTTAAAAGTTACGAGGCCCATACTAACAATCCTAGTGGCTCCTTGAGATGAAATAGACTTGGGTTCGTCCACGACAACCTATCCCAGTGGCTCCTTGTGATGAAATAGGCACACGTTCGTCCACGTAACAAACTCTAAAAAATCAAACTCGTTATTTCGTCGGCAAAATAAAAACAGAGATAAAAGTTTTGAACAGAACATATTTTATACTGGTCTGTGGTAAGTGCTTCAAAAAACGTGCGGAATGTTATTATACAATTGTTACGTGCGAGGCGCGCGCGTGTATATCTAAAATTACGACTATTATGTTTTTGATAGAATAATATAATATAAAATATGCAGGAATCGAATTTATGCGAATTATGGTAACGTGGCGCGTCTGTTCAGCTGCGTAAGAATTTACCCGCAACAAGCAAACAAATAAATCTCAGTAATCAATTGTGACCGATAAAATCTAGAACGCAACTAACCAAAGTTTTTTATTTTGGCTACGTCGATACTTTAGTCCCATACGGGCCCTTTCACCAGATGACTATGTGGAGTAATTAGGAAGTCTAAATACAAGGTGTTGCAACAGAAAGTAAATGATTTGATGTAAATGTAGAAATAGAGTATATTATTTGAAATGATAATACGAAATTACATACAATAAAACTTTGATAAAATGGTATAATGATACTATAAATTTTAAAAATGTGTACATTTTAATAACTCAGGATATAACACGATTGAATGAACATAAAATAATGAGTATAATGAAAAGAAAGAAATTTAACAAAGGATATCGCCGGGAGAATAGAATAACGCACAG